CATTGTCCCCTTCACTAGAGGTTTGGGGGCAGGAATGTCCAAAAGCAGAGCTGTGATGGGTGAGGATTGTCTTTGGAGGAATCTCCTATTTTCCCTTTTTCTGTCCCAACTTCCTCTTCGGTACTCTCATGTGGAACTCAGGTTAAGGTCCTCACTTTCAGGCCCATTATGTAGTTTTCAGTATCCCCTTCTCAGGTCCTTCATTCACAAAAAGTAATGGATGACGCTCATGATTGAAATGTTACCCCACCCAAGGGCATCTTTTACTTAAACAAACCTCCAAGTGTAAGGTTCCATTGTTGGTATTTCAGATATAGTCCAAAGAAAAAGGCTGAGGAGGAGGTACAAAAATGTCTTAAAAATATAACAAACACTTTGCTCATTTTGCCCTCTGGGGATGAACAGGGAGAGGAAACTGGGATGATTAAATTATGGGAAACCTAAATTGTTTTTATTCCTAAAAATTATTGCCAGAATATCTAGTATATCTTTATCTTCTGCTTCCTCCTCCTTTAATTCTTTCTCTTGTCCTTCCCCATACACATAGATATACCTCGAAGGAAAGAAATATACCAAATCCTGGTTTATGATAAATTGCATTAGTGGTGGTAATTTTTTATTGCAGTACTACCTACATTTTTTTTTTTTTGGTTTCTTAATGTACAGCTTTTTCAACATTCTTTTTTTTTTTTTTAAGATTTTATTTATTTATTTGACAGACAGAGATCACAGGTAGGCAGAGAGGCAAGCAGAGAGAGAGGAGGAAGCAGGTTCCCTGCTGAGCAGAGAGCCCGATGCCTCAATGCGCCTCAATGCGGGGCTCGATCCCAGGACCCCAGGATCATGACCTGAGCTGAAGGCAGAGGCTTTAACCCACTGAGCCACCCAGGCACTCCATTTTCTTAACATTCTTTAAGCTCTTGTTATCTTAACTAAACATTCTAAAATGACAAAGCTGCAAGCTAAAGAAAAACTAAGCCACTATTTTATATGATTTCTCTACTATGCTATTTAATTTGTCCTGGGATTCAAATGAGACAAAGTAGGGATTGTGTTTTCGACAATGTAAAACTCCATAAAACAATCTTTTAGTATTATAGATTTCAAAATGGAAAATACGATAGTAAAAGAAATAGCAATATTTTAAACATACCAGAAAATATGTTTCCAGATGAGCTTTTAAGTGCTGGTATTTCCTACCCCTGAGATGCGAAAATACATTTCATTTAGGTAAGAGAATTGCGAGTAAAGACAAGCATTATCCCAAAGGATGAAATACACCTAATATGTTTTATATACATTTTTGTTTTCCCAACTTGATGATTCATGAGTGAGAAGATGGTGAGAAAGGAAATATTACTAGAATCAGTACATTTCAAACATCTCTTGAAAATAAAGAAAATCATGAAGTTGAAATGTGATTCCCATCTCAGCTCTGCAGTCATTCCTAGTTTTCTTCAATTATTTATTCACATTGTCATTCATTCAGAAAATATTGATTGAGCTCACTGACTGCTGGGCACCATTTCAGAATCTTAGGAAACAAAGATGATGTCTTTGGTTCTCAAAGACCATGTAGTAGTCTAGAGGGCTTTAACAGGGTTGGTTTTACCATGTGGGAAGTGGTAACAGGGGTTTGCACAAGATTTTATCTGAAGACATGGAAGAGGCACTTGATGTGGAGGAGTTTTAGAAATGGGGGTGGGGCAGGCCTCCGGAGGGATGTTGGCATGGGAACAGAGGAGAGGGTGGGGCACACAAGAGCAGAATGGCACTTCAGTGAGGGCTAGAATAGGCACTGGCTGAAGACAGCAATGGGTTGAGAGTGAATATCTTGTATCCATAGCTCAAGAGTTTAGATTTTGGTCTAAGGGTAATCACATGCAATTGATCATTTTATGCAGGAGAATGTCAGGAGAGTTTTGATAAGATCACTCTGTATTTTGAAAAGGAAGATGGATTGGAGATCTTTGAAGGCTGGAAGTGAGGCCCCTTAGGAGGTTGTGGCAACTAGCTAGGCAAAAGATGAAAATGGCAACAATTATGGTCTTACAGCAGTGATTTTGGTAGAAATATCTTCAAATAAAATATATTTTAATTAATTAAAAACATAGAATAACACATTATTTTCAGAGAAAATGTAACAACAATAAAGAATCAGAATTGTTAAAGACCTTGAAGTCCCCGTCATGGAGAATCAAAGCCACATTACTCATTTTCACAATCAGCTGAAGATTGAAAAGTAAATGCATTCATTATTATCTTTATAGCACATAGGCCCTCTAATTGATAGAAAGTTTGTGATTTTTAGAAAATTCTTGGTCTGAACTAGAAGCTAGACTGGCTTGCATATATATAGGCAAGTCTTCATCCTACTGAAGTCACAGAAAGCAATTAAATGGCAAGCTCCTGAGATCCTTTAGTTCAATTCTTTCATTAAAGGGGTAAGAAAACTGAGACCCTGAGAGTAAACCCCTTACAGGTGACACACCTCCGTAATGGCAGATCTGAGACTGGAATCCAGATGCTTAATCAGGAGGGCAGGGCCCTTTTCACTGCACTCTAACAGCTTCCCAGGAAAGACATCTAAGTAAATCAATGGGATGTGGATGGCTATTTGAAAAGAGGAGATTTTTAAGTTCTTCAAAACTATAAAAAGCATTTTAGAAAGCCAAACACCTGCTTTATTATTAGGGGCTGTTCATTTTTCCAGATTAGCTGATGGGAAAATCCATGCCAATATCAGCAACTACTCATCACATACTCACTTTCCAAAAATAATTTTGGACTCTAGTCTGGCTTCGTGGTACCAGTATCCAAGTACATGTGATTTATATTGTTTTACTTTCTTATTTAAAAAATTGAAAACAGAAATATCAGTTTATTTAGAATTAGCAAGAGACTTTCATTTCATGAGAAAGATGAAGTATGATGGGCTTGTGAGCAATTCATGGTGTATACTATTCATCAAATGATAGAAAAATTTACAGGGAACCTGTTTAAGTGCTGGGAAAAGAAATAATTAAATTACCAATCCCATAATTTTTCATAAGTACATCCCTGAATGAGCAGTAACTCATGTATTTTTTTCTCTTATGGGTTTTTAACAAGGTTTAAAAAGGTTCTTTATTGATCAATTTAATATCTAATGTAATAAAAACAATGAGCACATTTTATGGGTTTTTAGAAAGTTTATTATAGATACTCATCATCTATTTGCCCCACCCCCAAATAAAAGAACCAACATATTTGCACATGAAACCTGGATCCACTTGGTACAAAATTTCAGTCTTTGAAATAAAATAGTTCATGGTAAATCTCAATAAAAATTCATTTTGGTGAATAATCAATGCAATTCAGAATTAAGGAAATCATACGTCTCACTTGTTAAAAGTTAAAAGGTTTGCTATATATTTAGGCTTTAAAACTTATCAACAGCTATTTGAAAAGATACGATTTATTTAAACTTTTAACTTATTTAAATGCATATTAATCAAATACTTTTGTCAATCAGCATATCCACATATTTTAAAAAACACTTTAAATACAACTATATAGTTGTATAGTTTATAGTATAACTATAAAGTAATGAGATTGATCTTTTTAACTAACATAATAAAATCTATGTAGTCAAAAGAGTGGTAATGTTTTAAGGTAATGATCATGAGAATCTTTTCTAAGAATGCTACAATGTCCTAGTGGCAATTTTGCTCAAAAGGATAGGAGTTTCATAGTTTAATCATTTGTTTACTTTGGCCCCCAGTAGTATTCCAGTTAAATCATCCTTCATCTACGAAGATAGATACTCAAAGGAATGTTAATTCAGGTTCTGATAATAATTCTTAAAATTTGAGCATTTACACACTTAAGATATGTAAATTATAGTAACCACTTACATCATAGACATCTTTTGTATATGCCTATCATTTTGGAATAATGAGATTTTTAAAATAAGTGACTCATAACATTGAAATAGGACTCTACAACTCAAAAGTGGTAAGAATAATTTTATACTGTGTAACAAATCCCATATCAGACTACATCATGGAAGTCTGTATCTGTTAGTCTCTTATATATATTATGTAGCTAAATAGCATGGGCACAACAAATTGACAACTTTCCTATAAGCGTATCTCCACGAATCACTGTAGTTGAAATAGTACTTGAGTGTCAGAAATAGCCTTTATGTAAAATGTTATTAATTAGCACCAGTATTACTTGAAGGTAAAGTGAGACATTAACAGGAATGCAGAATGCACGTTTAATTTCTAACTATAAGAGAGAAAGCATCTCCCAGATGAAATACCAATTAGATTTGGATTATTTTTAAGGTCACAGCCAGGAAAGTTCAGTCATAAAACATTTTAGGATTTTGCCTGGAAAAGTTAGAAAAGCCTTGTATATTGCTCTTTTACATTCTATTCCCAAACAAGATATATGTGCTTACATTATCAAGACAGTGCAATCTCACCAAGAAGTTCCCCGTGAAAGAGACATTTACCATTCTATATATTAGTTCAAAAAGATAACAAATAGAATAAAAGTACTTAAAAGTAATCTGATTAGAGCAAAATTTACATTAAGTACAAAATATACAGTAAAATGAAACATCTTATTAAATAGATCTATAGGTTAACAATATCTTATTTAAAGGTACACATGTTCATGAATCTATTTTCACATTTATTTGTCCTATTATATTTCATAGCTCCTATCACCACTGCATGCTTTTGTTACCATAATTTCTAGGATCTTTGTATATTTTTTCTGTAAGTATTCCCATGACTTTATCTGCAAAGGTAATTTTAAAAGTATTACTTTCAGAGTAAAAAAATAAGAAATTCCAGATTTTTACAGGCAGTTGTGCAAAAAAATTAAAGTGTTTGAGAAATGTCTCTTGATCTTTATAAATTCATCATTATAAAATGTATACTTTTGTACTAAAGTAAAAACTGTCTGCCTTTAAAATTAAGTGTTGCCAACCTACTGTATAATTCTGGCTCTGAAGTTATATATTAAATCCTTGACTATTAATTAGAAAAGCATTATTTGAAAAGATCTGCCAATAAACATTTCTACATGTGGTTGCCCAATCTTAAAAATTTTCTTAATTAGAACAGTTGGGAATGCTTAGAACAGAACAGTAGTGCTTTTACATTATGACAGTCAAGAAGTATTACAGTATCCAAATCTCCAGACCTGGGGTCCAAGTGTTTAGTCATGACTCAGTTGCAAGCTGATAGAAGAGAAGCTGTGTCCTACACTTGTACACAATGGGGCAATGACAACATCTGTTATAGTCTTCCATATTGTCTGCACCGAAGGCAGGACCATTAGGCAGGTCTTTACAAAAGGCATTATAATCCTAGAATGGAAGAAGAGATTTGTGTAAGGATTATTGGTGTAGCCAAATAAGGTCACTGACTCTTGTACATGCATGAAAAGATATAATAATGGCCTAATTCACCTAAATCTGAACATCTGAAACAAATAAATAGTGACCCACATAGTGATAAAATGCACAGAGATATGTTGCTTAAAAAAATAAACAGGCATATAGATGATAACACCAGTATTCTTTCTATAGATGGCATGCCATCTGAAACAGTAAAACAAAAAAATAAATAAAACGGTAAATGGATCTACCTGGTCTCTGCCCCTAAACATTAACCTGCTTAATTCTTCATAATTCCCTGGAGTTCTACTTGATGGTAGCCTTTTCCTGTTGCCTCATTCCACTTCCACCCCTTGGGCCAGGCTGGGTTGGATACTCCTTTTTTGTGCTATAGTACTAAATTTCTTAATCCTTAAATTTACCAAAGGGTATCATAAATACATGGCTATACTTCTGTCTTTCCTACTTGAATAAAGGCCCCTCTCCCCCTTTTTAAGAATTTTATTTCAGAGCATGAGCAGGGGGAGGGGCAGAGGGAGAGGGAAAAGCAGACTCCCAGTGAGCAGGGAGCCCCACGCAGGGCTCAATCCCAGGACCCTGAGATCATAAGCTGAGCTGAAGGCAGACACTTAACCAACTGAGCCACCCGGATGCCCCTAGAGTAGAAGCTGTTTAAGTGAGGACAATCTTGACCTTTATTAAAGGTTTGGGGGGAAGTGAATTTAGCATTGTCATGCTTAATATTACTAATCTTTCATGGTAATTACATACACTGAAAAGAACTGTGTGGTAGAGTTAAAAGAACCCTGAATTATGTCAGAACTCTTAGAAAAAACAAAACAAAACAACCTAGACTATCCTGAAATTATTTTTTCCTTATGTCTTTTTGTAAGATAACTGCAAGTCTTCATATTCCTCAGGCTGATTAATTTTCTGTATAATCCTCTGTATAATGCTCTCTGTTGTAGTAGCGCTATTTGAGCACAGAAGTATCTTTGAATTCTCAGGAACTGTTGGTAGCCTCAATGGGATTTTTATTATTATCTGGATGGGCACAAGGAAGTAAGGTTGATTTTCTTGATTTGCTATTAATATGTGACTTAAATAATGGTCTGTTGTACTTAGCTAACAGTGAAGGGAAGATCAGGAAACTGATTGAGATATTTTCAGAATACTGAATATTCCTAGATGTGTACACATTTTTATCTATAAATGTGTACACATTTATATTTATCTCATATTTTGTTCCAAGTACTAAAGACTTAAAGAAATTTTTAAAGAAAATTAATTACTAGGTGTTTCAAAGCTAAATAGCTGAATAGAAACCCGAATGATGACAGCTTCTGATTTCTTATCACATTATGTTTCTCACTTGATATATGGCCTTGGGCATATCACTACAAATGAAAGTAGAACCGGAGTTCGTAAGATTGGCTATAAGGATTAACACTTACTATGCACCCTTGAAATGCCTATATGATGCTGTCATTATAATGTGTATATGATATCATCATTTGTAAGTAGGACAATTTGAAGTCAGAATATATAGTATAAAGAAAATGATCTCAAACTGATGTACTCTAAGACTAAAGTTTAAATCAGAAAGCTTCCTAACCAAATCTACTTCACTGAGAATATAATATACTTTCCACTCTTCCATAGGTTGAGACATTTTCTATCTCATAATTTCTTAGATTTCTATATCCTAAAAGGGAATGCAGCACAGGACAAAAGTGGACTTTCCAGTACAGCTAAGTGTGGCTGCTTACATGTGAGAGTTCAGTTGATATGATGTGGTAAACTCATTTTATTTTCTTTAAGTTGTTGTTCTCTCACTGTGGGTCAGAGGATCCATGATTCAAACGCTTCTTTTTTTTTTTTTTTTTTTAAGGTTTTATATATTTATTTGAGAGAGAGAGAAAGGGTGAGAGAAAAGGAGAGAGAAAGGGAGCACAAGGTGGAGAAGCAGACTCCCCGCTGAGCAGGGAGCCTGATGCAGAACTTGGTCCAGGGATTCCTGGATCATGACCTGAGCTGAAGACAGGCACTTAACCCACTTAGTCCCCAGGCACCGGATCCAAACACTTCTTAAAGAAATCTTATAATTTGTAAGATTATACATTCCTCCATTGGACAAAGCTCTTGGGACAGAGACTTTTACTTAGCTTTGTATTAACTAGAGTGTCATATAGGTTGCATTGTCATAGCAATTCGCTGTATAAAAATTTCTTCTAGAAGTGAAATTGCTACTACTATATTTCTATAAGTTGGACTATCTATTTGAATTGCATCCCAACAAACACAAAAGGTAAGGGTGCTCCAGACACATTTCTTTGATATGATCCCCTTATGACCAATAATCTGCTGTTCCCAAATGGTGGTTATCTTAGTCTGAATGTGGTATGGTAGCAAAACAATCCACTGGTCCCTCATGACCTGTACTTCTGACCTAGGATCCAACATCACCAGACTGAGTTCTGGATGTTTTGTTGTTGTTTGTTTGTTAAGGAATCTAAAATCAGATCCATTGTAATGATGTGATGTGGGTTGAATATCTATTACTGCATAGTTTCATAGCTTTGGTTCTCAAACTCTTGGTAATAACAACCCCTACTTCCTGCCAAAAGGGAAAAAAAAAAGGAAAGAAGGGGAAGTGAAACAATGGGGAAGAAAGGTTTAGTCAAATAGGTTTGTTTTTTTATAGGGCCTCTCCTTGATCTGGTCTTATCATGTCAAGGGAATGTAAACCATTAATGATAAATCTATTTTATCAAGATACATGCTAACTTTTAAGCATTTTTTTTGTTTGAAGTAACTCCTCTACTTGCAATCACAGCTGCCTGATGATGAATGGATGATTGTTAAACATTAATGACCCACATGAATGTAATTTGAAAAACAAGCTGAGGTTAAATAATACATTTTATGTGTCTGAAAAATAAATGGTTTGATGATTCACCATTGGAAGCACTGCACTCAAAAAACATCTTCCGTTTTCAGGCGACCCAGGTTAAGAGAAGCCTCATTGGGTAATTGTAGCTTTACTTGTATCTTCCCAGCATTTAGTAAATGAAAACCATTTTGTCTTTAATTCCTCAGCCAGTGCTTTAGGAAGTCCAGCTTTGTTGATTATAAATGCAGCACTCTGTATTTCCAAACAGCTTAAGAGCCAACCTTTCACAACATACTATGTGGTCACTCAGTTTTTCACATTTTTGAAAGAGGTTACACGATTGGTTTTGGTTAATTAGGAATCCAAAATTTTATATGCTGGCTGGCACCTCTTTTAAAAAAATCCATGTGCTAATAATGTCAGATTATAAGCAAACTATACATCTGGCCTTAGTGAATTTGCTTATGTATAAAGGCAAAGATTTTCATTCCTCCAACAGTCTTTTGACACTTTCAATATATTTTAGTTGTTTCCATCTTTAGTGACCAAATTAGATTGGTGTTGTCCTTTACTTATTTGGTGAATTTTTATTTATCTTTTTTAAAAAAGATTTATTTATTTATTTTTGAGAGACAGCGTACGAGCCAGGGAAAGGACAAAGGAAGAGGGAGAGAAAGAATCCTCAAGCAGACTCCTTGCTGAGTGCCAAGGCTGATGCAAGGTTTGATCTCTTGACCCTGAGATCATGGCCTGAGCTGAAATCAACAGTTGGTCACTTAACCAACTGAGCCACACAGGTACCCAGAATTTTTATTTATCCTTTAAGAGATTTTTTAGATTCCTTTTTCTCTATGAAGGCTTCCTAGTGCTTCCCTCTTCCTTAATAGACTTAACAGAGTTTTCCTCAGCATCTACTTCTGTACCTAGCCTGCTACCCTGATATGCTGAATAAACTGAAGGCAGATTCTACATTTTACTCATCCTTGGCCCAGTGCCCAGCACAAACTAAGCACTCAATAAATTTATCGGGTTGAGCTAACTAGCTAAGTAACTAAAAGAAATTGATTTACAAGGTAAAGGGGAATTGAGAATAATTCTGTAACTTCTAACAATGAACACAACATGGGTTAGGGTGTGGCAATACAATAAGAAGTGACTAAAAAAGACATGGAGGCAGTTAGGATTATACATTTTGCCAGGACTGCCCTAAAGCACAATCTTGACAACTGTTGCAATACAGGGGATGATCAGAATGTTCTTTCCCTCAAAACAAGGTGGATGGCTTTTAAAACAATGTAACATTTTCCTTTAAAATTTTTTAATGCTTAAAATGTCCTCCAAAGTTTTATGATGCACTTTGAGTGTGAATAAAGTTACTCAAAACATCCTATTAATGCCCAGGAGGTTTCATACTTATTTCCCTTAAGTTGATGCCACTCCCTATGTTGTCTCATAGGGAAAAAGTAATTTGGAGGCCTTCTCATTTCATTATCCTGCAGCTTGACTTCTCATTCATTTCTGCTGGGGGCCCATCACCTTAATTGCACACACACAGGGTCACATTCTTGCCATCTGCTAGTCTCAGGATTGGAGCAGCCCCTCCATAGCATTTCTTAACCAGGCCTGATACCCCTGTTCAATTGTACTGTCACTGGCATTCTGCTCAGAGATCACTTTTGTTTTAGCCCAAGCACAGGTGGTGACTGAATAAATGGTGATGATAGAAGTAAGAGTCTAGCCCAGAACCACTGGCACAAGTCCTAACTTGTCCTATAAGAGAACAGTCTGTGGCAGGAAGCATGGCCTCCAGGTCTGCACCTCCACAGTCAGCGGGGCCTTATTAACATAAGAAGGAAAATCACACCCGAGGGCAGAGGGACATTACTTCTGTTTAAACTCCTAACCCAACCTATGATTCTCGAAAAAGCACACTGCCCTTCAAGGCCTCCCATTTCTTGCTACTGTGGCGAGCTGATGCGTGTTCTTCTTGCAAGCAGGCCTTGGGAGAAGGGAATGCAGGGGGCAGGTAGCAAAGAACATTTCTACGTTTCAGAAAGTCGGTCCACCCCGGTGTGCCCTTCTCACCAGATGTGCAGACAGCTGAGGATGGCAAAGAGAATTCCTGCAGCGAAGGCCATGGGGATAGCCAGGAAAAATGTCAGGAACTTGTAGATCACGTATTTGCTGATTTCAAAGAGGGCATGGCTGCAAATCCACACTTTGTCAAAGGAGTGTGTAGACACCGGCTCTGCAATCACATCATCGAAGCCCACCTGCAGAGGCAAAACACAGGAACACCCAACAGTCACCCAACCCGCAGCCCCGGGAACCAGGAGTGCTCGGATAGAAGAAGCGGGAAGGAAGGAGCTGGCTGGGTCGCCTACCTTCTCTTAGGGTAAGGTTGGGCACACAAGAATTTGGCTAAGAATTCCAAGTTACACAGGCGGCCCCAAGGCATGTGAATTCCGGGTCACGGACGCCGCGGGGCTGACCCAGTGGCGAGGGTGGGGGTTGGGGTCCGGGCAGGGGTAAAGGGGGCACCCGTGCCCCCAAGCTTTGGCGGGGCCCAGGTTACGGCCCGCCCCAGGCTTCTTCACCTTGAGATGCGAGTTGAGCCGGTGGGGATCCCGATCGGAGCCCGAGTCCGCGAACTTATCCAGGTCCGCGTAGTCGACGCCGCTATGGCGGCTGTAGGCATCGTCGTCCATGAAGAGCTGGACGTCTGCTTTCTCGGTCTCCAGCCCCATCGCGGCGCTCAGTGCGCGGCGGCGGCGGCGGCGGCTGCAACGCGGCCTGCGCTGCCTCCCCTTCCCGGCGCGCCCGGCTCCGCCCCGCCTCGCCTCTACCCTCGCGGCCCGGGCGGCGGCTGCTTCCCGCTGCGGGCTACCACTCCCGGTGGGGGCCCAACCCGCCCCGAGCCCCGCCTCGCTGCCCCGGCTGAGGGGCGGGAACAGGACGCAGCCGGAGAGGTGGTTCCCACCCAGAGTCCCGCCGCAGCGTTTCGGCCTGCTCCACGTCTGCCTCCCGGTCGGGAATCATCCCAGCAGGCACGTTCCGGCCCTGCACAGGCGGGCGAAGCCTGCCCTGGGGACGAGGACCAGTATTCCCCGGACCACTGAGGAGCCGGAGAGCCCCCTGGGTCTTATCGCTTGATGCTTAGAACAGAGACTTTTAAGAGCTGTCCAGGGTTGATGGACTTAGTGAAGGGACGCAGCTAGGTGTTTAGGAGCGCAGGTATAGAATCACAACGTTTGCCTTAACCTCCCTGCTGTACCGTTGACATGTGTGCTAGGGACCTCAGCTACCTCCGTGTAAAATGGGAGCAATTGGGAATGCCTGGGTGGCTCTGGTCATGATCCCAGGGTTCTGCTCAGCAGAGAGCCTGTTTTGCCCTCTGCCCCTAACCCCTATTCGTGCACTCACTCTCTCCCGTCTCCCCCAAATAAATACATAAAAGTCTTCTTACAGAATCGGAGCAATTGTTCCTGCTTCACAGAGTTGTCGCTTGAGAGTTAAATTCTTGTAAAACTCTTATGTGGTCTTAACACACAGGACATACCTGACTGCCAGGCAATCCCACAAGTGCTTGAGGATCCAGGAAACACATCAGAGCTTCAGCTATCTCAGCGCCCACAGATGTGGGAGCCTGCTGGAGGCAAGGTGAGGAAATAGAGTCGGTTTGGTGAGCTCCCTGTCCAGGAGTTTGCACTCTCAGAGCAGAAAGGAGGTCTCTCTCTTTTTTTCCTTTCTAAATTAAAACTCTCGATGTGCCTTTGAATCAAGCCCTGTTGAAAGATGTCAGGTCTCTCCAAGATGTCAGGTATCTATCTGCAAGATGCAGTCACAGCCACAACTACCTGTAGCAAACATATGAACAGACCCCTACCATAAAGCCACTCTGCAGGAGAAGAGCCAGACTGTAGAGCGCTCACTCAGAAGCTTTCAGAAGGGAGGGATTTGCATGTTTATAAAGGTTTAAAAGTCTGGTGGACTTAGATACGTGTTTGGGGAGGGAAAGTACTTAGTGAAAATTTGCCAAAAGCGAAATTGGGAGTGCCTGTTGCTTGCTCAGGGCCTGAGACGCAGTAGGAACATACTTAAGTATTGCTGAACTACAGTGTATTTGGAACTTGCTGCATTCAAATCCTGGTGTGTGAACTGGATTTGAAGAATTGCTTTTTCTGAAAAAGAAAAAAAAAAAGATGACTTTTGAAACAATAAAAATTACATACAAAGAGCGGGATCTGAATAGGAAAAATATTTTGGAGCCCAAACTCAGTATTTCTAATAATTAAATGGATGGCAGTGTTGTAACCCCATGGTTGAGTCTCATGCCTGTCATCGTGCATCTCCCCACCAAGCAGGTGGTCCCGCTTGCCTATTCTCTTCTTTTCTTACTTTACTTTCCCCATTTATTTATGTTTAGTCATTCCAAAGTGATGACTTAGACATTTTGCTTATTGCTTTTTCTATCCTTCTTTACCTCCTCCTTTCACCTAAACAGACTGATTCTCTTCTAGAGAGTCTTGGGGCTCTCCTAGAGTTGTTGCCCAAAAACCGTTTTTCAAAGTGAAATAGTGAATAGAATAGAAGACATTAATACCTCATAAAATTCATAATAATGATTACCAGGAAACAGAAAAGAAATGTGTTTACAACTAAATAGCATTTTGTAAAAGTTTATTTTCCTTAAAATAATCCCAGAGTTTAAGATATTGCTGAAGAAGAAAGTCATGCCCATAGTGCTGGAGTGAGTTAAAGCAGTGACTGAAAATCCGGCTAAGCTTCTTTCCTTTCTTTGTCCTTTGATCACGTTTACATTGCCAGTGGGATTAGTAAGACATTTGCAATAGTTATCAAAAGTAATTGACTTATTTTTCAGGCAGCAGGGCCAGGAGGCCAAAAGGCAGAAGAAATTAACATTGTCTTAATGGGACAACTTAAATTATAAATTCATTTGTAAAATGATAGGTATTTATGAAAAAGTTACTCTGAAACCTAAACTAAAAGAAACCCATCTAGGTCTGTTGTATTTCCCATAGAGCTTAAAAAAGAAGGATTCACTCACCCATTTGCTATCAAATTTTTATTGAGCACCTCCCCCATGGGTTGATCTGTGTGAGGTTCTTATGTTGATGAAATTCTGGCTCATTTCATCATTTTAATACCAAAGATTTTTTGAGAGGAGCTATAAAAATGATTTTGCTTATCTTATTAGTAGATACTTAGGAAATGTTAGCTACTGTTCTCAAGGACTTTAAACCAGTGATTACCAAGGCAAATGGTCCCTACTAACTGGGAGGGAAATCTAACAGGAAAGGGAGAGGACAGGAAGTGGGTTAGAGCTAAATGGCTGAGCACACTCTAGTATCTCCCAGATCACAGGGTTACTCCTTCCATAGCTTTCTTTATTTTTTTTTTTAATTGCCCTATAACCAAGGGAACTAAAAAATTTCATAATAAATACATACTGTTATACTCCTCTCCTAGCTGTTATAGCTTCTGATAAGAGAGCTGATTTTCAGATAGCATATTATTATATTTAAGGAATAATGACTTTTTAATTGATTAGTTTTTATGAGTAACTTGATAATTGATTAGTTTTTATGAGTAGGACAGCTTATAATTATTTCGCTCCTTTTCTCAGTGTATTGTCTGAGAAAGATAATTATTATGGTTCATTGAAATTTGTATCTGAATACCTTTATGAATAAAAATAGCTATTTCCCCCCCTTTCTTTCCTTTACTTCCTTTCCTTTCCCTTTCTTTCCTCCTTCCCTCCCTCCCTCCCTCTCTCCCTCTTTCTTTCTCTTTCTTTCTTTCTTTCTCTCACAAATCACGAAGGTGTCATCTTTTCCTTCTGTATAGCTTACATATAACTTTAGGGCAGGGTCTGTTTTTCAAACTGCCATGGTGAAATTGGTTCCTAATGAAAATAATAAAGACTCCTTAAACATACCATATAGTATTATGAGTTAATAATATTTAAAACATTTGGAGTAGACCAGGTTTTCTCAGCCTCTACAGTATTGACATTTCGGGTTGGATCCTTCTTTGTTGTGAGGAGCTGTCTTGTGCTTTGCTGGATGTTTAGCAATATCTCTGCCCTCTGTCCACTACTTGCCAGTAGCACTCCCTAGTTATGACAACCAAAAACATTTCCAGACATTGCCAAATGTCCCTTGGGGGCCAACATCATCTTTCCCCTCCTTTCCCAGGCTGAGAACCCTTAGATAGGACATTGTTGAAACAGTTCTTCATGTGAATAGGAAAAATTATGCTCCAGCTGTCCGTTTACAAACCCACGATGAGGATAAATCTCAGAACTATAACACCAATTTGTCAGAAATTCCAGGGATTTTTGAAATTAAACTTAAGGATACTTGTTTGCTCTCTTAAGTTTTCAGAATAACCCCTTGTCGTTGTTTAGTTACAGATTTTCAATACAATGCTGGTATTATTTGAGGGATACCTACACCTCATTTAGAGACCAACAAGAAGCAACTGCCAAGCTCTGTCTACCTTGCAAACTCCTGCTCCTCCCTCATATGAGCCAGAATGATTTTAATAATTATAGCTAGATAAATGGAAATTTGGGACTTCTTGATTCCCTTAGCTGGTCAGGTTTAGTAATTTTTGAGACTCTTCAGCAACTGGATAGCTTTTCAAGTTTTATATGACCTTAACAGAAAAGTCGATGGATCTGTTAGTGAATAGCCAGACAATTGCTTAAGCATCTCTAACCAGACTTGCTTACTAACAGCAAAGACTAAGCCTGAGAAATTTGGAAAGACCTCCAGAGTCCTGTACGACCTATTCTCTCTGTAGATAGTGACCTTCCCATAAACTGTTTCTGGCCTAGCTCCCTGTCCCCCAGACCTTCTTCATCAGTGTATCTTTTCATCTTCTCCTCTCTCCATCCCCACCCTCCAATTATCCCCTCCTCAATACATAGGACAGCCTCCCACAAAACAATTTAAAGGAAAAGATTTAAAAAATACCTGTTGTTAAAGTTATTCAATAACTTGTTATTGAATAAAGTTATTCAATAACTTGTGGGGTGGTGCCAGGTAGTTGTATGGCATTTAATGAAATCTTGTTAAATTTATTTTTCTTACCTATCACTTGTCTTTATGTCTACATTCTGAGTAAAATTAGCCTTGTACCAGCAAACCAGGGAAATTTTAGTTTACTATTAAGACATAGTCATTTGTTTGTAATTAGTGCCAACTTAATCTGTTTCAAATAGTACCTCCTCTGGCCAAAAGCCTCTCTTCAGACACAAGAATTTCCAGAATTAACTTTTGTTTGGAAATACTTAACTATTAGACATAGGGAAAAGTGCACTCTTAAAAAAAAGTCTATATCCCTGATTAGAGCTGAGAGGATAGGTCATTCTGTTCTTATTCAAAACAATGTATGACAATTAATTTCAAATTTATTTTATCCTGTTTTCCATAAGTAAAGGATGTTCCTGTTTAATCTTTTGAGTATCCCATTCATTTCTGGAATACTGTATACATAAATAAGACATGTGCATAGGACTTTGATATTTTATCTTTCTAGAACATGAAATAGGTGCTAATTAGCTTTTGGTGAGCACTAACTTTCAAGTTAACCTCTTAATAAATACAACTTCCTCTATATTCAAATGGGAACGTATTTCTGTAAAGATGAATAGTTATGTGTTTTCCAAATACAAACTGAAATGTGTACAGTAAGATTACTGATTATTAAAACAACAGATCTAGAGGTTGTTTTCTTGATTTGGGGTTTTATTTTAGACAGAGAAATTTAGCTTAATTTGAAGACTTTGTTTACTTCTATAATTCTTTTTACAAATGTTATTTCATTTTCA